TTCCCCCAGCAGCTGTTTGCTCCTTGGGTGCGGCAAAGGAGAGATGGTGGTTTTGCGGGCGTCGAGACAGGCATTTATTGTGTTTATGAAAGTAAAACCTATAAAAGTACGTTTTCCCTCTTTAGAGAACTTTTTTCCTTTTTCTCGTCTCTGACTGGCTGTGTAAATCTTCATTTTACCCTTCAGAATGTCTAAGGGAGGAATAAAAAGCTCTTGCTCTCAGTCAGGGTGTATAAAACCCGGCAGCAAAAGCATGAGTGTGCTCTTGTCAATAACCACCTCGCAGGTGTTTTTACAGATGGGGGCAGTCGTAAGATAAGAAAGTTTTGTCAATGTTCATTTCTAGTTAAATTATTGTTTCAACTGGTCAATTCCACTTTCTTCTCTATAAAAGATAAAAGTGGTCTCGGACTGTATTCCATTTATGTGCTGTCTTTGCTGCATAGCTGAGGTTTTAAGTTGTTTTATCGATTCACTTCAGTATTGTTTTTGTTCTAGCAAGATTTTGATGAACTGACCCTTTTTGTAGAATTAATACTAGGAGTAAGTTTTGTAATGCAAGTTAGTACCTTTATGGACAAGTTCTGGTATTGATAGAGCATCACCCCAGTTTGTATCTTTGTTTGTTTGTTTGTTTACAAGTATATTGAACCACTTTTAAATATTTTAGATGATCAGTTTAAAGACTCACTTCCCAGAAGCCTGGGACATCTCATGTGCCATGTAACTGTACTATGAAGAGTAATTGGCTTTTCTTTTTGTAGGATGAATACTCGCAGTTATCAGCTTATGAAAGGAAAAGACTAAAGAACATTACGGAAAATGCTAAATTCTTTGCTGCTTTAAAGCTGCACGAGGTTTGTACAGACTCTTCGTAGCCTCAAAGTGAGCTGTCCCCGAGCGTGATGATAATTGTACCGCGATCCCTCTCGTTGTGAAGCCCTTCCCTAACAGTGGAGGTGTGTGAGGAAAGCCATGAAAACGTCCTGAGTCATCAGGACTGCCCTGACTGGATACAAAAATGGGCTTTTGTGCTGCTCGTTAGCTTTTTCCAAAGAGGTGAAGTAATTGGGTAAACTTAAAAATAAAAAAAGTGAAGAAAGAAATCTTCACTGATGTGATGTTCCGTCCTCGCAGCACCCAGCTGCGCTCGGGCCTGTGGTCCCAGAGCTGCGGACTCGGCAGCACCAGGTCAGGTGAAGGTGTGATGAGCAGCAGCCAAGGGAACTGGGGGTGTTGAGCCTGGAGAAAAGGAGGCTAAGGGGAGATCTTCTGGCTCTGTGCAAGTCCCTTGGAGGAGGGTGGAGAGAGGTGGGGGTGGGTCTGTTCAACCAAGGAGCAAGGGACAGGACAAGAGGAAATGGGCTCCAGTTGTGTCCAGGGCAGTTGAGCTGAGATGTGAGGAAGAATTTCTTTGCTGCAAGGGTTCTGAGGCATTGGAAGGGGTTGCCCAGGGCAGTGGTGGAGTCCCCATCCCTGGAGGGATTGAAGAGTCGTGTAGACACAGTGCTGAGGGACATGGGTTAGTCATAGGGGACTGGTCAGTGTTGGGTTCGTGGTTGGACTCGATGATCTTGAAGGGCTTTTCCAATCCAGGACATTCTGGATTGTGACCCTGGGGTAAAATGCTCTTGTGAAGTTGCTCGTGTGCGTGTCCTGGGCAGTGTGAGTGCTGTACGTGCAGCGTCCTGCTCACTTGTGTAATGAGTGGTCCCACCCCTCTGTGCCTGGCGTTCACGTGTCGGGCGCGGTGCCCGTGGGTTAGTGGTTATCTAAGGGAGAGGCTGCGGGGCTGCAGGTCTCGGCTGGCGGGAGGGTTCAGCTCACCACCCTGTGCTGGAGAAGCTGTTGGGGAGAGTCTGCAGGGTGTGTGCTGCGGGAGCCCTTCCCCGTGTCCTATCTCGTCTGGGGGGACAGAAGTGCGTTATAATTCTTCTCACGTTGGAGAAGTTGTCTAGAAGGTTAAGGCAGTGGGATTTCAAATGCTATCGCATGAGGAGATCCAAATCTTTGCCCTTCTTTCTGCTCTCCTTCATTCTCTTACATTATTTTTTTGTAAGTTTGTAATACATCCCTTTTCTGGCAGCAGTGAGTGAATGGCTGTGTGCTCGCTCATGACACCAGGCTGCAAAACATGGTGGGGCCTGGCTAGCAGGCAGTAAGGGTCTTTACCACCAAGACTGAAACTTGAGTAAAAATAACCCCTTTTCTTCCACTTCCCCTCAGAGAGGTCAGTAGAGACTAGGCAGTGTGACTGTGAGTAGCGAAGGAGCTGGAGCCATCTCAGTACCCTTAGCACTGGCCAGTAAGGGCTGCCAGGCCCCAGAAACGGGTAAATCTTTTCACACCGGGGCTGATGCTGCTTTGGCAGAGCAGTGAGTGGTCTCAGCGATGAGCTGGGCACCTCTAAACTTTCCTGGAGTCATAGAATCATCAAATGGTTTGGGTTGGAAGGGACCTGAAAGCTCATCCAGTTCCAACCCCCCTGCCAGCAGCAGGGACACCTTCCACTAGACCAGGTTGCTCAAAGCCTCATCCAACCTGGCCACAAACACTTCCAGGGAGGAGCAGCCACAGCTTCCTTGGGCAAATAAACTAAATGCCTGTCCAAAATGTGAGGGAGAAGGCGCTGTGAATGGAGGCCTCTGGTTATGGGTTTATTTTACGTGTCTTTGGTGCGTAGCATGCAGAGTATTTCCTCTGTTCTGTGGAGAGGGTGGATACAGAACATCCAGACTGTGCCGTGCTCCTGCACGCCCTTCACAGAAATCAGGGAGTTCTTGCTGGTACATGGAAGCAAAGTGGACACGACACAGTTCAGTGCTTAAACCCCCCTTTTGATTGTTGTTATAAAGAACTGCAGTGTAGTTTGTCGCAGCCTTTAGATAACTGTGTTTTATACAGGTGGATCTTTTATGCTTACTATGTATTTTTTTTTAATCTCTTCTTTTTCTCTTTAAGTCAGCTGCAAGACTTCAACAAATTGCAACTAAAAGACAATCTCAGGTCACCAAAAGGTAAAATAACTGTGTGTGAGATTTGTGTCACTGTTCCTTCATTGTGTGTTCACTGTTTTAGCACTTCCATCTGCACACACGTGATACGGTGAAGAGGGAGAGCTAGTGAGGAGTCTCCCTAGAAAGCTAAATCTGAGTAACTGATTTTCCTAAGCTGTGTGAATTTGTGAGCAGCTGGCTCCTCTAGGTAGTGCCTCTCCTCTGCCATCCTTTGGAAAGAAAATGACAATATCTTTTTCATCAAATTACAGAATTGGTTCTTTTTTGTGCTCAGAACTATCTGGTGCGTGGAAAGTAACAATTCACCCTGTGTGTAGGTTAGTTTAGATTTTGGGTTAGGAGAATTGTATTAAGGTATTTCAAGTGTATTTTTTTTCTGATGATATTTTTGTATGATGGCTAAAGAAAGAAATGTTAAATGATGAAAACAAATGACGGGAGAAGACATGGGAAAGAAAGAGAGGGAAAACTAGATGCAAGGGATAGAGTAACCAGTTAGTGTAGATGAAAAGACATGTGGCAGTGCCAAAACAGTGCCAAGCACAGCAGAAAAATGGGCTTAATTGCAAAACAAAGAGTAAGAGACACGATGAAAGAAAGTGGAAAAAGCTGACGAGATGAATGAGTACAGAGCTGAATTATAAATCAGGGGAGCTGGGAAGAAAAGTGACAAGTGAAACAAAAATGCAGTGCAGAGATACGTGTTGCACAGCGCTCGTGGTTGTGGCTGTCACTGAAGGAAAAAGTAATCACAGGCTCCTCAAGGGGATCGGACTCGTCAGGCTGTGAGTCTGGGCCAAGATGTCAGAGCTGTGTGTCTGCACAAACCTACTCTGTATCCTTGTACCTAAGCACAAGGTTCCTATGTCGTTTAACCGTGTCTGTAACTTTGAAATGCTTTAATTGTTCCAGAGCTAAGCCTAAAAAGGCAGAAGATGAACCAGTACGGAGAAGATCTATGCGCCTGCAAAGGGTAGAGCCCTCGGGAATTCCAGTGCCGGAGATGCCTGCCCAGTCCGCAGCAGAGGAATATGTAAGATGGGGAAGGGTTAGAGGAGATGTGTGTGTGTGTATTTATGTAGAAGCTTTATAAAAATGGTGCTGGTGGCACTGACTGATAACACTTGTCATTGCTGAGCTTATTGTAAAAGCCTTTATAGACATTTGGGAAGGTGCATTATACCTTCAATATATAATACAAGGTAAATTCTTTCACCCTGGAGCATCTTGGATAGCAGGCTTCCCATGTCCCCTCTGAAAGTGAGTCAGTGCTCCGTGGCTCTGGTTGATGAAATAGTGCAGTTTTGAATGAGCAGAAGGGTCCTGAGGTAAAACGTTACACATTTTTCAACAGCCCATAGATTTTAGCAGCTTTAAATTCAAAGTCTTATTACTCTGTTTTAATGTTACTTCACTGTAACTTTTGATCCAGTTTATTTTCCTTTGAAATATTTACTGCCTTTTTGAAGTAGTTACAAAGCAACCAGTAAAAATTCTGTTGCTCTGAGAGATGGGAATTTAAATCTTCCATGGTGTTAAATAAATAAAGCTACATCTCTGTAATACAGTTCTTGAAGATCAGCCTTGCTGGAGTATCAGAAAGGAGAGGAAAAAACATGGGGTAGCTCTTTGTCTTCGCTGTTGTGTTTAGTAAAGTGCTGTTTCTCTTTTTAATAGGGTTTGATGCAAACTTTGTTGTTATGTTTATTTCTTGTATTATTATAGGTGTGTTCTCAGAATAATCTGGTGTGTGGGAAGTAACAATTCACCTGTTTGTAGTTTTAGTTGATGTGAGTTGAGAAAATTGCTCGTGTCATTCCAGCCTCAGGTTCCAGCCGGACCTTTGCCGATGGTTCCCGAAGATCAGATGGAGAACAGGAAGCTGACAGAGGACTTACTGACGACATGGATGAGGATAAGCGAGGTACTACTAGTTACAATCAGTTATTTTTTAATAACCTAATCCAGCTTGGGTTCTAAGTAATCCAGTTCTGATCCATGTTTCCTTTCTGTCTGTAGATGGAAGGTGCGGATACCGAAAAGCACACACATGACTTGAAAAGGTAATCTGAAGACAGGGCTGAAAACTGGGGATTGTCTTGTTCTCTGTCTTTCCTCTCTGGAACAGTTAACATTCTGGTGATGTTGTCTAGATACCAAGAGAGCCTGAACAGCATGCGGCTCAGCGAAGAGAACGTTAAGAAGGTTGTGAAATACCGAGTGTGTTCTATGGCTATCCATCCTTCCGAAAGCATCGTCTTTGTGGCAGCTGGGGACAAGACCGGGCAGATTGGCCTCTGGAACGTGGTGAGTTGTTAGTGTGCTCTTCACCTGGCAGAGCTGTTTGGTGCAGGTAGGGCACAGTCTGGAGCATCATTTTGTCGGGCTCGCGATGGTGTTTTGTACTTTCACCGTTCTGGTAGTTAATGCCAGCGTGTCTGTTAAATTGAGGCTCACCAGAGTTGGTTGAAAGGTCTGTCTGGTCCTTGGCAAGCACAGGTTTAATGGGAGGAAAGGTTGTACTGGTAATTTTGGGGGGCAGAGCAGAAAAAAATGGATCGCTAGCTGTAATAATACCATCAGTGAGGGTTAAAATTGCAATTCACCATTGAGATATTCAGGGTCTAATTACAGTACCCTTGTAGCAACACCACAACTAGGTTTTGGAGAGCGAAGGGAAATGGATGCTCAAGTACTTTTTTTTTAGAGTTTGTACAGATTTTGGGGAGCTGCAGTGAGTCACTGTTTTTCCAGACAGCAGAGATAACATTGCTGTGCCAGAACGTGCTGGTGCATATTTACCTACATAATCTGAAAAATAACTTAGCTTTGAAAACTTCTGAGGACTGTGCAGATAGTCTCACTGTCGTTTCTGAATTACCTTCATTACTCCTGCAGCAAGAGCCCTTATTCATGCCCTTGACTTACCACCTTGGTCACCTTCCTCCACTTTGATCCCCCGCCATCCAAACCACCTGCTTGAAGTTCACACACGTGCAGATTTTCTTCTAATTTTTTGCAAGGCCATTAACCTCTTGAGTTTCTCTGGAGTCGTTTCTGCTGTGGCAGCTTCTGGAAACTGATCAGCTAAATTAATCTCTGAGACTCTTACTCGATTATAAAGAAGTCTAAACTGCTCCATACACTTTAGGAAGCTGCGGTTACTACCTGTCGAAGAGTGTGATCTGGTGACAGGGATGCTGAGGTCTCTCAGTGCTGCAGACTCTTTGTGGCCTTGCAGAGACATTTCAGTGGAAGCCTAGAATTGTTAAAGCTGCACTTTTCCCTTTTGTTCCCCCCCTTTTTTTTTCCCTGAAGTGAGTTGGACTTGGCCAAGTTTGGGAGCAGAGTAACCTTTGTGGAATGAACTGGTACTTATTTTCTTTTAAAGTAACAGCTTGAATGATGGCAAAATTAGAAGAGAAGATACAGGAGATGATGCTTTACTTTCAGTTTGGGTCACTATACTTTAGCTTGAGTTCTAAGTTACCTAGTGTGTAGAATCATGGAATCACAGATGGTTTGGGGGGAAGGGACCTTTCCAGGCCATCCAGTCCAACCCCCTGCAGTGACAGGGACATCTTCAACCAGATCAGTTTGCTCAGAGCCCCGTCCAACCTGACCTGGAATGTTTCCAGGGATGGGGCTTCTACCACCTCTCTGGGCAACCTGGGCCAGTGTCTCACCACCCTCAGTGTGAAAAATTTCTTCCATCTAGTGTAAATCTCTCCTCTTTTAGTTTAAAACCATTTCCCCTTGTCCTATTGCTACAGGCCCTGCTGAGAAGTCTGTCCCCATTTTTCTTATGGGCCTCCACTGCAATGACAGGAGTGCACTTAAATTACAGCAGGAAATTGCAGCTTTTCCTAATGAGGAAACAGAATTCTGAAGCTAAGAGTCAATTCTGAATGCTCTTTTGAGCTAAATTACTTGTGTAGTGGTTAAAATGGTCACAGGAGGACGGCCATAGCCCAGCAGGGCTGTGTTGAGTGGTCCATGTGAGGGCAGTTCTCTGGGAGAGAATGACAGGGACGTGACACTCCCCTTGTCCCAGTAAGATGTGCCCCTGCCTGTTACCTGTGCTGATGTCTCCACACATCAAGCACCTCACTGCCTCCTCCATACAGTTATCCAGAGCAGACTGGGAACGTTTGAAAAACAGAGACTTGGAAAGTCACAGTAATTCACAGAAATAACTCCAGTGATTAACGAAGTGTCTGTTGAATCTGAATTGCTTTTCAGAGCTCTAAGTCTGAAGAAGGAGCTCACGTCTTTGTTCCGCACAGCAGCATGGTCAGCTGCATGCATTTCTCCCCGTGTAACCCTGCTCACTTGCTGTCTCTAAGCAATGAGACTCTGCGCTGTGGTGATGTCACTAGAGCTCTCTTTGATGAGGTGAGTGCTCCCGCAGTCTCCTTGGGAATCTCTTAGTGTGAGCTGCTGTGAAGATTTAGTCTTGTTCTACCCAAGCTGTTATTTGCTGGTGTTTTGTTAACAAGAAAGTTCAAGATTCCATTTCCACAAGGACACATGAAGTAACCTCTAATTAACATCATAAAATTACAGAGATGCTTCCTAGTCAGTAAAATGTAGTAACAGCTTGGGTGCTCTCAGTTTCCTTCCCACAGAGGCACTTGCAATTATTGAATTTAATTTAGTATCTCTACACTGAAGTACTACGTGCATCTTTTCAAAAGCAGTACTGTTTAACAGTGACTAACAAGAGAGATTTAAAGAACTAAATCTTACAAAAAAAAAAGAAAAAGGCATCCTAATAAATATTGTCAAACATCAGAAAGCGTGAGCTGACTTTGCTTTCCTCAGGCTTCAAGTGAGCGAAATGCTGTGGCTGTCTTCACGGTGAGGCAGACAGCTTCACTGGGCAGGTTCATGATGTTTGCTTTGTTTGCTTTATGTTTTGACAGATACATCTGCTTTGATCAGCTCTCCAACATTGGGAAATATAACAAGTTACAACAGTTTAAACGTTTTTTTTATTTTATTTATTTTTTTTCCCCCAACCCTCACAGGCACCATAACTTTGGTGGGTAGCAGGCAGGCCAGCTCTTGGGGAGTATCTGCAGTGGGTTGGTCGAGAGGCCAGGAAGGTCCAGGGGGGCTCACTCTTTGAGACAAATCCTTGCCAGAATGTTTCTGGAGAGGTCAGAGGAAGTGAAGAGCTGTTCTCCTGCTCCATGTACCTTATGCCAACTCACACAGCCTCGTGATACCTCTAGGACTATTGCTGCTGTTGGAAAGAACACAGCTGCTAATGAGGAGAGTCTCTGCACACCTAGAGAGACCTGAAACATGGAGGTTTTCCTGCAGCGTTATTATACTTGTGCCTAATTGCTGCTTTGAGAGGAAACTGCCCTGGGATAAGATGACTTGCCGTCCCAACTCTGATGTCCCAAATTACAGGAAGCCAAATTCCCGTTTGTGCACCTGATTAAAGGTTTCTGTAGCGCTGGAGAAAGGAACAGTATCGTTAGTCCTCGCCCAGTGTGCGCTTGAGGATAACGACTGTTTGATTGCTGGAACAGAGAGGTGATGGTGTCTTGTAAGAGTTCTGACAGAGAATTCGGAGCGTGTCGTTGCTGGTTTGTTGTGGATGGTTCATTATCTCCTCTGTGGGAAGCACGCCAGTTTTATGGACAGGTTACCTAAATACCTAAGGCTGGAACTATCAAATTAGTAGACTTCATTAGTATCTTTAGTATGTTAAAAAGAGAAAGCATGAAATCTACAGCCCATAGAGTGTTTTGGGTATTATGAATAACTCTTGTGGTTTTTGTTGAATGGTTTGGGTTACATCTGCCCTTTTCTATGCCCAGATATGCAGAACTGAAGAAGGCTTCTCTTCCTTTGACTTTTTGGAAGATAATGCCTCCACTGCAATAGTAGGACACTGGGATGGTGACGTCGCCGTTGTGGACAGACGGACCCCAGGAACATCTTCAGAGCTTTCTGCAGACATTGGCTTCCAGAGAACGAGGACGGTGCATGTTCACCCCGTGAAGAAGCAGTATTTCGTTGCTGCCGGCTCAGTGTACGTAGCTCAGCACGAGCTGCAGTTGCTGTGTGGTTTCAGCGCTCTGTCTGCACTGGTGTCTGAAGCCAGGTGTGAACGGCACGTTTGGAGGGCAGGAGCTGCTGTTGATGGGGCAGACAGTCTCTCAGCCCCAGTGTATGGCCAAAGCCTTCTTGATCTTTTTAGAAAAAAAGTTTTTGGATCTTAGCAGGGTTTAAAATGTGATAGACTTTGTCTTTCCTTCACCTTTTGGTGGTGGGTACAAAACAGTCTTATGGATGACTGTGGTTTTTGACAGATGACAGTGTAGAGGGGTTTTTTGGAGCTGTTGGTTTGGGCTGGTTTTGGTGCTCTCAGAATCCTTTGGAGCCACTGGCCATGCCAGTCACTAAGCGCTGCTGAAGTGCAGTTGTAAGCACAGCTCACGTAGAACCTGCGGCGTCTTGTGGGTGATTTTTGGTAAGTGGAAGGTAAGTAGGCTCGTTACTGATCTGTCACCTTGTACAGCGCTCTGTGCCATGTGTGTTGCAGGGATGTTTGTGTTTATGACGTTCGATACCTGAAGTCTAAAGGGAACGAGCCCGTGAGCTCTCTGAAAGGACACACAAAAAGCGTCGCGTCCGCCTATTTCTCGCCGGTAACTGGGAACAGAGTCGTGACAGTCTGTGCTGATGATAAGCTGCGGTAAGGTGGAGTGGGAAGGAATAATCTGTATGGAAAATGTCAACTGGGATTTTTTTGATTATTATTATTATTCCTCTCTGCATTACCCACTGAGAGCTTTCTGTCTTTATCAATTTTGCAGAAAGTGATACAGGTTTACCAGCCTTGGCATTTTTAAAGTTGCATGACTTTTTGTTGGTTTTTTGGGTTTTTTTTCTAATTCTCATTTTCTTGAAGAATATGATCAGTAAATTATACAGTCTTAAAGAAACCAAACAAGCAAACAAACAGGAAAAAAACCCACCAAAACAAACAAAAAAACCTCAAAGCAACCAAGCCAAAACCAGAGAAAAACCTGACTCATGAATACAGATACAGAATGCTTAGAAACGGAATTTATTTTTAGCTGCTGGTACTTGAAGTATGGTAACAGCAGCTCTTTTCTAACTGGTCTGTTGTTTGGTAGTTTAAACTGCTGTGAGTTGTGTTGTATCACAGATGTAGTTTTTCTTTGTACTTTGTAGTTTTGTGACTGTAATTCAGGTAATCTGGTCACATAAATACCCGATTGCATCTGCACATTCACCACATCCGTGTTTCAGAGTCCCAGAGAGCAGGTACAAAACGGGGGCCCATTGAGGCCAGGCTGGAAATCAGGCCTCTGCTCTACAGATTGTGCATGTTTTTAAGAGCTGGGGTAACTACACGCATTCTGGAAAGAGTCTGAATATGGTGCAGTTGTTACTACATTATATGTTTTGTCTAGAAATTTGCTTTCTTTGCCTTCCACATACCCAGGAAAGATTCTTTTGTGTCAGTTCTGCTGTAATGCTTTCCTTCCTGCAATGGATTTACTATAGATAATGGAAGATTTGTTCTCTGTAGTAAGCTTGGGTATGGAAATTGTCAATCCTTGGTGCTAACAGAGCAAGTGTTGAGTGCACAATGGGTATGAGCAAACCAGAATATTTGTGTTCAGCAGAATGGAGAAGACAGACACAGGATCATCTTTTCACAGCCCCCTCCAAAGGAAAAAACAAGCAGCTTAAAAGCTTAAGTTAAAACCCAGAAGCTCGTGGAGCTTTTTGCCCTCGGGGGGTTGGGATCCTAAGAGTTAATCAGGTGAAGGAGAGCCCAGAACAGGAGATCTGTTCATGGTTTCTGGCACTTGAGTTGAGCTCACTCCTGCCTGAGGAGGTCCTGGCCCTGGAAGCTGTTAGTGGTGGGGTTTCACTCTGGCTTGTGTTGCCCATCTCTCGGGTTCCACCCTGGGCAGTGACTGAACGGGCAGGACGCGGGGCTGGAGGAGCCTCTCGTTTGTCCTGGCAAGCTCTTCTTGTTCTCTTGCAGAGCTTTCAGAAAGGATGACTTTCCATTCTAGCTAAAAGCAAATCCTGTTAACAAAGCAAATCTCATACTTGCAGTTGGAATGTTGGTGCTGGTATTTGTGCTGGGTGTCTGTGTGCTGTTTGCTATTTCCAGACTCTCGTGTGGTCTGGCCTGTGCTTTCTGAGGAAAGAGCTGCTGTTTTTAACACGTGTACGTGTTATTTACACACTGTTCTGTGTTACAGGGTCTATGACACCACCTCTTTGACATCAGCAGTCGCTGTTCTCAGCACTGTCAGGTAAGCTGGGCGCACGGGGGCTGAGGGCAGCACGCTGGGGGCTGAGGGCAGCACGCTGTGGCCCTTGGGCTCAAGTGTCTTTGTGCCGTGGGTGCCGGGCGTGGGGAGGCTGCGGTGCGCTGTGTTTCCAGCCTCGGGGCTGTCAGCAGCTGCAGAGGCAAGAGCAGCCCCAGGAGCCTCCCAGCCAGAGAACCTGCCCTGGTCCCCACCGCTGCCTGCAGTGGCTTTGGTTCATAAAGCACGACTGGGGCACAGCCTGCTCGAAAGCCTGCGGGGAAGCTTTGATGTCTCCCTCTGTACCTGGAACAGACCATTCTCTGACTTCTGAAATGTGTTTTGTTTCAGAGTGCTTTTCCTTTGTGCGTTTTTTAAATATCAAAGGTTACTTCTTAACCATAATCACTTGTTTTTGGGCAGAGTCTCAGCACTTGTAACACACCTTTGTGCTCCAGACGGGCGCAGCATCCTCAGGGTTGGTTTGCTAAGGAGCTGGAGAGAGATGAGTGACTGGCTTGAGAGTTCTTAGTTTGCAGTTTATGGAAAGGCTGGTTGTGTGTTTGGCTTATTTTTACTAAAATACACACCTATGAAGCAGAACTACTTTGACTCATAATCACTTGTGTCAAAGTACCCCCTGCTTTGTCCCCCTGCTGCCCTGCCAGTCTCTGTCCCGTCCCACCCATCACAGGAGCGTGATCCACTGGATGGATCCGCACAGCGTGATCTGTCGGGTGTGTGGGAGTGCGGAGGGTTTAGAACACGAGGAAGAGCAGTTTAAGCAAATACCACAGCAATGACGATGCTTAAAAATACTGAATTGAGTAAGAGGAATGTTTCTCTCTCTCTTTTTCTCCCTGTTTGTTTCTCTGAAGACACAACAACAACACGGGCCGCTGGTTAACCAGGTTCAGAGCAATCTGGGACCCTAAACAGGAGGAGTGCTTCGTGGTGGGCAGTATGGCCCGGCCAAGGCAAATAGAAATCTTCCAAGATACTGGAAAATTGTTGCACTCCCTTTATAACCTCGACTGCCTCAGTTCCGTGTGCTCCATTAACGTTGTTCATCCCACTAAGAACATCTTAGTGGGTGGCAACTCCAGTGGCCGCCTTCACGTGTTCAAAGAATAAAAGAAGTAGCTCAGATATATATTTTTTTTTTTCCGTTTTTGCATTCAATTTGTTTAATCTGTATTAAGCTGTTCCTAAGCTAACTGTATTTCCTCAGGACAAAAGTGTATTTTTAAAAGCTTTAAAATAAATCTTCTAAACTACCTTTGGCATTCACTTCTTTAATTTAAAAAAAATAAAAATTAATCCTGCTATGACAGTCAGCTTGTACCGAAATAGCTATTTTTTTTCCCCCAATACCAAAGTCTTTTTTCAAAAATAAAGAAAAAAAACCCCGTTGGATCAGTGGGATACTTGCTGTGTAAGAGACACTTCTTCATGGTTTTCATTCGAGAATCTGGAGCGCTCGTTCTCCCCCCGCTCGCTCCTGTGCTGCTCCCATAATCTCCTAAGGCTGGCAGGTGTTCTGTGTCCGTGTCTTCAGCAAAGTTTGGCCCTTAAGCTGTCTGACGTCTAATGAGGCCCATCCTGGAGGCGGAAGGAAGGTCTCTGTGTGTGCTGATGCCCCTGGGCACAGGTCCTAGGGAAGCAGTGACGTGTGTCCCCAAAGGTTTCAGGGCAGAGGCAGCTGCAGGCGGGTGCATCCCATGCCCGGTGGGACCTGAACTGCCACAGCAGAGCTGGAGCTACTGCTGTGCTCATGGCTTGAGATTTCTGGTGCCTTCAGTGAGTGGGCAGCTAAAAGGCCAAATTCCTCCTGGGTTTTGAGCTGAGCTTTTACCTCAAGTAAAAAAATTAGTACCGACACCACAAACCACTGAAGAAATCTCATACCAGCTCTGGTTTTCAGGATATTTAAATATTTATTTAAATTTAAAAATACTTTTCATGGCACCAATGATTTTATGCTAACTAAGATATTGAATATGTAGAAAAAGGTACATCTTGAAGGAAAAAAAAAAAAAGTAACTTACAGTATTTGGCACATGAAAGGTTAATTTCTAGGTTCTTTTTTTATGAAAACTAAGAAATTCACATTTTCAGGTATTTTTACCATCTACTGCTTAAAGATGCAGTATGCTATTATGAGCTTTTTTTTTTTTTTCCTGACATAAGAATCTATGGAAACAACATTTTTAATATAAAGACGGGTAAAACTAACAGGTAACACAACACAAGACGTAGTATGGAACGTACGGGAAAAACATACAATGAAAAAATCACCAGTTCTCGTGGTTTTGCAGTAAAACGCTGGGTGGGAACTGCAGAGGTAAACTGGGTCTGGCGCTTAGCGCTACTCTAAGCCGATGTAGAAGGTTTCCAAGGTTGGTACTTGGAGGCTGCACTTTGGAAGGACAATGTCTCGCGTTGGACGGGGCTGTGCTGTTAACGACATCACGCGACACATCAGCAGTGAGGAGGAGGAGGAGGAGGAGGGAACGCTGCTTCTTCAACCCGGGGTGAAAAAACGTCAGGTTTGGGACTACCACGCACTGCATAGAAACACCATTAACTACGGGCTGAGGTAGGAACACTACGCTAAGAGTTAATTTTGCTATGTTGCATAAAACAGGATATCACGTAAAAAAAAAATCCATCCTCCATCTCCTGGCATTGCTCGGAGCGGCTCCTGCCCGCTCGAGAGCTGGGGGCCGCGCGCCAGACCCGCGGGTGCCTCCTCAGCGGTGACACGATGCTTAGTTCTT